CGGTTTCCACTGCTATTTGGTATCCAGCCTCTAGTCTCCGAGATGACCTTTCCAGCCTCTCTGTGTTATCGAGCAGATGTGCCCTCTGAAAGAGAAAAAGGGGAAAAAAATCAGACGGCCGTCTACAATGTTCTTTTTTTGCCTTTTTTTAAAAAAATAATGCCTTCGTATGTCCTAACATTTGGGGGAGGGAGGTCTCACAACCCACTATAGTTAATTTTTAGCAAATTTTCCATAATAGAAACCACTACAATGAACATATTTCCAATCAATCAGGTATAGACCATCTGCTTTTCTGTTTTAAAAGGAGACTCGTGTTGCATGTCCCCACAATGTATCTTACTCCAAAACACTGAGAGATGTACAAAGACCAGAGCCAACTGGATTTTTTCTGTTTCAGCGGATATAGATGTATGAGATATTTGCATAGATCTATGATCTCTATTTGTATTTATTTTTTATAAAGTACAATCATTTCAAAAACCCATTTGTTCCTTTGATTCCTGCAGACAGTAATTTTTAAGCAGAAACTTTATTTGTAAGAGAATGTGCCTCAATTTTGGATGTGCAGCAAGATGCCATATAGAACAACATATGCTACTAAAACGGAATACTAAACAGCTCTTCTAGTTTTAAGACAACTAGGGGCAACACCAAGAAATAAGAGACACCTGTTTCTCAACTTACATAGATGTACAAAATTGTGGATTTTATTCCCAAATATATGGCAGTATGTAGATTGATGTTGATCTTTGAACTCATAGTGTTTCAGACTGTGAATAAAAATTACAATAATTATATACACCTCTTTTATATTATATCTGATGGGGAAATTAGAGGTTTTCCCCCAAATCGTCAGCTTCTAAACTTTCTTTCCTATATTGAGATTTTTTTTTTTTTAACCATAGTGATTATACACTAGATCTATTCAGGTTGCCAAACAGATTTGTATGCTAATCATGGCTGTGAATGGATAAAAATATACGCATATATGTAGAGATATATGTATGTCTAGATATTTAGAAATATATGAATGTATGCATCTACATATTTGTGTGTGTGTACATGCATACATATATTTGTATATGTTAGTACCTTCCCCTCTCAAATCAGTTTTGGTATCTGGTCAAAAAGAAAGAAAAAAACACAACCACAACTCCTACAACTTTGTGTTGTTGACAGATGTCATTTAAAATCGGAGCAATGCTTTCTAATAATAATAAAAAAGGAGGTGCCACACATATTATCTGAGTGGCTGTCGAGCGAAACGATCTACCTTGCTCTAATGAGCCCCCATGGATCTTGGAGATGCAAGCTGTATTGACATGCACACTTAAGCTAATACACCTAGACCAGTGCCTCCAAGCTCTAGCAGCCAGGGATGCTGACAGAATATCTCGCTTCCATCTTCAAAGAAAGGAAGTGATTAGTATGTTATCATTACCATTCAAAACGTGATTTCCTTATTCCCTCCCGGCATAGGTGACACATCTGAGATGCGGCCAGACGTTGGAGGCAGCTAAAGCCACATCAAAGCTTTCCTTGAAATTTTTTTGGGGGGAAGGGTTGGGGGGGAGAATCATTAAAACAATGCATTTAGAACAGAGAGATAGGACTTGATGTGAAGGTCAGGAAGCTGCAACAACAGTCTATAATAATTAATAGAGTCGTCTAATATAAAGCAGAGAAATTAAGAGAAAAATTGCCCCCTCCCTCTGCAAAAAAAAAAAAAATCCTAAATAAATAAAACGGAGGAAGGAAGGAAGGAAAGCTTCTTGTATTATGAAAAAGCAAAATCACTGAAGGCTGTAATTGAGAAAAGAAGAGAAAAGGGAGCTCTATGTGTTTGGCATTGATGACTATTTTTAAATAAAATTAAACACTTTACTAAGGCTTGTCAAAATAGCTTTCTTACTCGAATTCTCCATACATGCAGGTTCTGGGAGTAAAGATTGCTCTTCCCTTCCCTGAAAAACTGTTTCCTACCTTAACAAAGGACTTAATTTCAAACCAGTGATTCTCTAAAAAGATACCAATCAGATCTGTGAAATCAAGAGTAAATTTGAATTTTAATCCAGAATAAGAAAACAAAGATTTCTGGTTCATTTTCATGTTGGATGAAATCCCCAAATAAAAAGAGTTTAGTTACCACAGATGAAAAAAGAAAAACAAAGATCATACTGGAACTGGACATTCTACTTATATAATAATATACAATGCAGGAAATAAAGCATTTAAATTTAGAATGATTTGGGGGATTCTACGGCTATAATGGAGAGCAAAATTTCTATAAGAACTTCAAAAAAATTATATATATTTAATATATATATATTATATATCATATATATATAACTAAATAATGGAAGTAACTCTTCTCCAGGACAGTTCAATTCTATCAGAGTAAATCTGCACACAAGAGGACTATCAGTTTACCAGCAGCTTTCCAGCAGGATCTCACTTTGTATTTTGGAACCTCTTCACTTAAGTCAAACTAAAATCAAGTTCTTGTAACAGCTGCGCTATTTACATTGTTCCCTTAGTTGTACATTGCCCTGGTCTCTGTAAATGAAAGGAAATACACTACAGTAGCAGCTGATGCTTTCAACTTGCCCCCACACTCCATCCCAAACTCATTCTCTCACCCTCTTCTCAGCCCTTTTCAAAGCAGGTAAGTGAAGCTGTGCAGGAGCTTCAGACAGAGCTCAACTTGTGTGAGGAGCTGTGCAATGTGGAGAGCTGGAGACGCAGGATTCAAACGGAGCTCGACACAGCCAACGCCAGCTCAGCTCCCTCTGCTCTACAACCCTGCCTCCAAGCGTGCCCTGTTTCCAGAACGGAGCCCGAAGAGAGCATCACAAGGAAGGGATGGGGCATACTTTGTTCCCAAGCACAACAAAACATCATATTTTGAAGCAGATGAGTGATTGTCTTCTTAACATAGGTGCAAGTTAAGAAATATGGGGTAACATTCACTGTATGACTACTATTAGAATCCGACTGAGAAATAATCACTTCTGAGCAAACTATAGATGCCAATGCAGTATCATCACCGTAGTCTATTCTATAAACACCAATGTTATATCCATATCAAAGACCATTAAAAGAATATTTGAGTGTATTATTCTAGTAGTTGAATGATCTAATTCTTCTGATTGTAATTGTTACAGGTTACAGTTTCAGAAACATGTGTTCCAGAACCATAACTGATAAAACTGCTGCTACAGGTACAACAAAACAATTAAGCCATCAAATAATAGTAAAACAATATTTTAAAAGAAATGCAGATGTGATATTTTCAGCTTTTAGAATTAAGACTTCTAATGCCACACAATTCAGTTTAACAAAAATAAATCTTGTCAAAAATGTTGGTTGTAATAAGGCACAAGATTTTATTAATCACATTCATTGTTTAAATTGTGGGGCAAGGGCTTTGTGTAGTTTCTTCGTATAGAGGTTTTCAAGTCTATTGTTAGTTCCATTAGTAGTTGAAAATTCAGATTCTTCAGCTAAACACAAGCATATACAAATATAACAAACAGATATTCTATCTTGCAGAAAAATAATGTTGATGTATCACTTCAAGAGTAATCTTATATATCGAAACTGCAATTGATTATATTCATTTAGTATACACATCTGTTTCCAAGCAGAGAAGATAAAAAACACAAAAAGGTTGGAGGGTGAGGGTTTTTGTGTATTTTTCCTGTTCATTTTATGTGTCATTATTACTTTTACTAAGAAAGGACCTCACTAATGCATCTTAAATCACAAGAATTGTTGAAAACCACCATCTACAAGCCTCCAAATTAACATTTGTATCACTCAGAGAATACGGACATACCAATAAAAAAAATTCTAGAAAGATCTCAATCAATGCAGTTAAATGAAATTTGAAAATAATTCATAGTACTCTAATTATTATAAGCAATTAGATAATTTTTAAATTGCAACATGGGTCATTATTTTATACCCTGATAGAAAAATAACAAAACTTAACCTCACTAAATAAAACATATTTATCTCTGAAAAAGAGTACCAAAACATATTTGAAATGTTTGCTTAATTTTTTTTTTTAAATGGAATCATTCAGCATCTCTCATTGATACAGGGATAAAATTATAAACATTGCTGTAAATATTTGCTCAGCCATAAAAAAGTCTGGAGTTGCATTATGAAACACACTAGCAAACTCAGAAAAATGAGAACTCACTTGGGTGCTATTTCCTACAAAAAGGAAAGTGTTTAACAATGACGAGAGCTTTGGCTACTTTTAGGTATCTATGTACACAGAATAACACAGAATAGTAGGGCATTGATAACACATGTGTGTTTCCCCAAAAGGATAATACATCCACAGTGTTGTAAGTTGAACCTAACAATTTTGAGTGAGGGAAAGGAGTTTATTTGAGAACGGTTATAGTAAAGTAAATCAGAATGTCGGAAAAAAATTAAATCCTATTGACTTCTTTGAGAAACCAACATAAATAAAACAAACTTGAAGTTAGAGCCTACAATAAAACTATATTCAGGTGTAGTTTTAAGATATTCCTTTTTATTCCTCCTTTTGTTTTTTTGCCTTTAAAATACTCATTTTTCCCCAATGCCAACGAAGAACAATGATCCCTATGACAAGCATGATTAGGATATAGCTGTTTTTAAAAAATGGTCAGCAGAGAAGATTTCTGAGCAATATAATCAGTACTTTTTGCTATGTGTAGGTTTCCCTGGAAAAATGAATCCAAAGATCCACTTAGATTTAGAAACTCAATTTTATAGGGAAGAGCAGAATTAAAAAAAAAAAAGGAAGCTAGGAAGTACTCACCTCTTCACGTAATTTTATCAACTGCAACATGAATGCACAAAAAAAAAAGATAAAAAGGAAAGAAATGGCAGGAAAGAAAGATCAGTTGTGTGACAGGATACAGAATTAACATTGACAATTTATCTGTTTACATGTTTAGCATTTAAAAATCACAGACAAACACATTAAAAGAACCTAAACATAGACTACATGCAGAGTTTTTTGAACGAATAAAGATCACTTTCTCACACTGTCACATTAAACAAAGAGAATAGTGTGAAATT